GTTTTCCCCAAAACAGGGGGGAAAAACCCAAAAAGGGGGGCCCAGAAAAAAAATAAAATCCCAACCCCCAAAAAACCCCACCTTAAACCGGGGTCCTTTTAAAAAACCCATTTTGGGGGGGGGGGGTTTTTTTGGGGCCCCCCCCGGGGATGAACCCGAATTTCCCCCGGGTTTTAAATTTGGGGGAGGGGGCCCCCCCCCCCCCCCCCCCCCCCGATTCCGTCCTTTGAACCGCCTACTCATGGGCGCGCGCGCTCACCTTGCTCCCATCCGCTCGCTGATCCCGTAGTCGAAGCGGTTGACGCTGAAGCCCGTCCGGCCCACCAGGAGGTGGTCTCCAAGGGCCAGCCGTCTGTGTGACACGTACGGCCCGACCTTTGCACGGACAGGACCACATTGGCGGTACGGAACCAATCAAGAGGTTTACAGCAGCTTACTGGGCAGGGTCAGCTCGACAAGGCAAAGTAAGAGCGGCGGGATGGGAGGCATTGCACCCTTCATGGTGCGGGACCACGGGGATACTGGCGACATGGAGCGAGGAGAGGATCGACCCGCACAAAGAGTAACACATCCGTGACATTGTCGGGGCAGGGGCGCCTTCCAGACAGCGCGGACAATAGAAGAGGGGAGGATCACAGCAAAGCAAGGACCACCAATTACGATTCTCTACCCGCCACCCCGCAACCCGAAAACAGAAAGGATACCGTTTCTGCCCTAGCGAATTATTGTGCGTCTCTGCCGGTCTCGTGGGATTATTTTCGCCGCATTTTTTGCTCTCCGGTTACTGCGATCACATTCTCAACACTGCCTGTTGTCCTTTTGGTACAGAAGCTGCGCATACTACCCGCATCTGTTTCCCTCCTCCTTTCCTTTCCTTGTCGAGGGATTGCTTTGGTCACTTCCCTGAATGCAGGGGGGAACGGGGGTTGGTTGGGGAGCAATACTCTCGAACTATCTGACTCACCATTTGCATGTAGGTCCCGTTCAAGCTCCCCAGGTCACACAGGAAGAACTCGCTCAAGGCTTCGTCGTACTCGATCTGACAACATGACATTGGTTGGCATTGATTGGCGTTGGTTCCCCGCGAGACAGGCGCGTGGGGGGGGGGGGGGGGGGGGGGGG